TCATGTGCTTGGAAACACAACTCCTAATTCATGCTGCTATAGCTCTGTGGGTGCTGGATCTGTAATTAGGCAGTATTTGAGGACACATTCGTCAGCGATCAGTGTCAGTGTCCTGTTTGCAGCTTTAGTTTCACATGTGTTTGATTGCTTTTGGGTAATGTGTTCCTTTTTAGAGACTTGTAATACTTTTAAGATCCCCTCCAGACATTTATTATGACATATCTGCTTAGAACAATAATGTGTGTCTGGTTTCAAAAAAAGTGTAATTTACACATTAAATCATTAAAAATGCAACCGCTCCTTCTACCTCATTAAAAACTCTAGAATCTATGAATATGCAAATGGTCTTGTTTTTAAGTTTTCCTGCTTCACACAAGATGCCTTCTTCTTTACTGTGAAGTCCATTCTCAGTGTATGTGCACTGGTGTCTTCAAGTTTCGCTTGTATAAGTTGCATACTGGACCAGGGTTGACCTATTTGTGATCTCATAAATCATGCTTGTGGGCCTCGTCCCTTAAAATCTGATTTTCAATGAGCACAGAGAAACTTTCCACTCTCTGTAGATGAATGTGAAAACATCCTTCTAGTGTCAAACTGCACATACGTCGTTCTGCACAGTGAAGCTCAAACATCCAACTGTAGGGACAAGAGGAACATATTTCTGTTTGGAGGGGGACTTTAAGCACTAATCTAATTTTATTTTATTGGATTGTGGGCACAATGTGAGATTTGATACACAGAATCTACTTAAAGAATCAGCTAACTATATTAACTCCTGAACACTGTGAACGCCAATATCAGCACAGTACAAACAGAATGGAATCAATATTGTTTATATCCATTTATATATGTGTGTGTGTGTGTGTGTGTGTGTGTGTGTGTGTGTGTGTGTGTGTGTGTGTGTGTGTGTGTGTTGTAATACGTTATTGTAAAAGTCACAAATGATAATAGTAATAAAGCAATAGGTTAAAGCCATAAAAAAAGGAAATTATCTGGCAATTGTAAAAACAGGGAGGGAGAATTTAAGAACTGCTATTACACTGTCACTCAAGCTTGATCCCACAATAAAACTCAGTTTACAGAAATTATTGGACTGTTTCTCATTTAATGGGCTCCTGCTAATTTGCTGAAGGGCAATCTGATCCATAAAATGAATGATTTCAGAAATCTAGTAAGGATCACAATAAATGAAGGATTAACCCTTATCTAGGAAATGCCCATTGCCCAAAACATTTCTAATAAAAGGCAATAATTTGTCTGAAGAGATTAAATTCCTCACATCCTGACAGAGGATGTGAGATTTGTCTTTGAGTTTAAGGGTCACAACTCCTAACAATTAAATTTGAGTTTATTGAATAACTGAATGGATTGATTCCCTCTTAATTTTTTGGTTTGATTTGATAAACACAAGTTTAAATGATAGAACAAATGTATTAATTCAATTATACTTCCATCTAAAGAATGTAGATGCGAGTTCAGATCGCTGCTAAGTGAGGGATAAAACTTATGAGAACATCTGCAAGCACGTCTGACCTGGTGGTCTTATATGACGTGTTTCATTACTTTAAGTTTTTAACTGGATACCAACAGAGAGAGTTTAAATTAGGCAGAGTCTGTGTGTGTGAGGCGATACAGGGAAAATTCTTCAAGCTGACGTTCACAGTGTGCGACAACAGATTGATCTGTGGTTGCAAAGCAGGGAGGAAGGGCTTATCTGCCACCAAGCAGCATGTGCATTAAGTGTTTGATTGCACTTCTCATACCAAGCAGTGTGTATTTGTGAGTAAGTGTCTTTCCGTTTTCATTTGTCTGCCTCCCAGTGTATGTGCTGTGCACACGCTCTGTGCCCCTAGTGAAAATAAAATCCATGGATTTGTGGGATGTCGTCGTGACGGTAATGCCTGTATATATATGCCTGTGCGCTCACATCATATTGCGTATTGTATAGAGAATACTTAAACAGGCCCATTACTCACTGTCTTAAAACCAATACTTCTGTCAAGTGTCACCATGGAAACAAAAGACCATGCTGCTGATAATAATCAATGAATATGTTGTCTCGTAAGAGGTTTGATTTTCCAATGTTTATTTGAATGTTCACCACACCCCAGATTCCAGACATTCTTCTGAAAGTCATTTCCTGGTAAAATAGTGCTCAGTTCTCCACTGGCAACTGCTGAATATATTAAATATCTCTGTGCATATTTTTAAGATAATAGTAACATATTTTTTTTCCTAAATAACCCAAATGAAGCTGAACATACTGGGTCATGTGCTGTCACATTAACTTGCAGCTCCTACTGGGTAAGTCTCAGTATTGTTTTACAAATTCTGCAAGTTTTACAGTGAATTAGCACCAATTATGCTGACAGGGACAGTTTGTTGGCATGATTCTTTTAATATCCTCGCTTGTCACTTTTGGTTAGGAGGACAGTAACTGCAGTGCTTATTTAGGTCTTGAACTACCGTGTCTGGCCTTAAATGCTAACAAAATTACTATATTAGATTCATGGATCTTCTCTAGTTCAGCAAAATTCCATGCATGCAAACAATGTAAAACCAGATACTTGAAATCTGAAATGCAGGTTTACAGTATGTAATGAGAAGTGGATCTGTAATGGTGCACAAAATTCACAGTTAGCTTTGGTATGTTGGGTACAACGAAGAAAACAAACAATAAATTAATTTATTTTTAAAAAGCATTAACATGGATCTAAAATTAGCATTAACATTTATAAAAGAAATAAGCCAGTTAAACATTTGCATAGAGACAGTTAGGTAAATCGAAAGGGAAACAAAAGCAACATCAGTATTGCTCAAACTTTAGTTTATTACAAAACTATGTGCACTCACATGAACACTTTAGTGGGCCTCAACCACTTTGGTGTCTATGATTGTCACACATAGGCCTAACGTGTATGTACATGTTGGTTATTGTTTTGGCCCAGTCTGTGGCCACACTAAGGACTTGTACCTCAGTCTGTTATAGCCTACCTCTAATAATAGATACACTTGGGTGATGCTGTTGAAATCGAGTTAGTGTTTGAGATGTAGAGTTCTCCTGAGGCTCACATTACCCGATTTAGGCTGAACAGTGTTGATACACACTTTTCACCTGATACAATACTCTTCAAGATAACCGACGAGCATGATTTAGCTAACAGACATCAACTGATTTATTTTCTTTTTGGAACTTGCACTTAAGAACTTTTAAGTATTTATTAAATGAATAAGAATGTACATTTTGGGTTAAAAAGGTTTCATCAAAATAAAACAAGTCCTGACCAAACATCCTTAAACTAAGTCTGAGACTAATCTGTGAACCAGTAACAGTCAGACAGTTCTGTACTTTTGTCAGTGAGTAGTGACATTGACACTTACTAATTACTAAGTGTGGACAGCCGGTGAGTCTGAAAAGTGAAGCCGATGCGGAAGTCCCTTAAATCTGCATTCTTTCCAATGAGGGTAACTCCACTGGTTGTAAAAAAAAGTCTTAATTGTAAAATGACCCTACTTCTCATTTCATTTATTGCCTCAGTAATAGTATTTTCCTAACGAGTTTATGGTCTCGGGTTCACAGTCAGCTCCACCCCTCGTTCTTCCCCAGCCCTGCCCCATTGTCCAAATATGGTCACTTCTGGCTCCAAAAAAAACAAGTTTGGCAACCCCCAATAATGCCAAACTCACGGCGTCAAAACAGTAGTCCACAAACCAATAGGTCTACGGATACGGATACACTTCAGGACTTTTTAAGTGCTGCAGGCAGTCAGTCACTGGGGTTAAGCTAACATTAGCTGTTTAACCAGAATGTCTTGTCCGTTTCTACTTTTGTTAAATATGTGATGAACAGCCCTCACTAAAACACAACAGAAGTGCTGCATGTCATGTCTGTGTTTACCATAGAATCAAATTAATAGTTGTTATCTTTTAATACTGAATATTTAACTAAATCCAGCAGAGACACTTTAATTGTTCTGCCTTTTGTTTGAACCTTTTGACTTTCCTGTTGCTTCTTAATAGCAGATTTTTGCTTTTTAACTGTTACTATTATGGGTCCTAAAAATCAGTTAGGAGCATGGACTCTCTAGCCTCAGAGTCTGCATGTGTGTGTTTTATGTGGGTGTGTGTGTGTGTGTGTGTGTGTGTGTGTGTGTGTGTGTGTGTGTGTGTGTGTGTGTGTGTGTGTTTTATGTGGGAGTGTGTGTGTGTGTGTGTGTGTGTGTGTGTGTGTGTGTGTGTGTGTGTGTGTGTGTGTGTGTGTGTGTGCATGGCTGCAGGCTTGGTGACCCTAGCAGCAGCACTGACCTGTTGCTGCTAATGGCTTTGCATATAATAGCCTGGAAGAAGTGTATAGTTACTTCTGTTGCACGCTGATTTCCTGCAAGGGGTTTACACACATGCACGCACACACACACACACACACCCGAACACACCAATTGCTGTCCACAGAGACGTGCAGGCTGCTGATGGTTAGGTCTGGATATAGTTATTGCTATCTCGGCCTTCCGGTCACTTATTACTGTGTTGTGGAACGAGGTCTGCGCAGACTCACAGTGTGTAGCAAGGTGTGTGTGAGAGTAAACGTATATAAGTAGGCCGTGAGCAGGTCGTTTCAACTACTGAAAGGATTTCATTTTAATGAGCATCCGTGTCTGGCACAAGCTTTACAATAAAGGCTGTGCTGAATTATTGTACAGAGAATCACCAGCCCCATGCTGAATTTCCAGCTGTGGTAAAACATTACAAATTGGGAATTGAGATGAAAAAGTAGAGGGGAGATCAATAAAGAAGAACCAGTTAACAAAAGGGAGGATTTATGATGTTATTAACAGGAAGAAAAAAAAGGAGTGAAAACATAGATGCAATACCAGAGAGAACAACAGAAAGGAGGTCAAGACTGTGATGGCTGCCGGTTTGAATTAGACGAGACAGACGGACTGAAGCTCTTTGACATAAAGACAGTTTCTCTTTAGAGTGCCTGAGGTGTGAGTACGTCATATTCAACCAAAAGCGTGTTTCTTCACACAACTTGTGAAAGCAACCCTTCGCTATATGTGTCACTGTAACACTATGGTGCCTGTAGGTTATTTTCACAGATATGTTTGACAATATGAGAACAAAGTGAGTGTTCTCTCTCACCATGTCAACACTTCAGCCACTACAGCCAACCACAACAGAGGTCTGCCTCCACTAGTCCGCTGTATTCTGCTGATGAGCACAGCTGTGAGTGACAATGGACTGTGAGGTAGAAGACGCAAGAAGCAACACATCGACTGCATCTATTAATGAGACTCAGTTGCAGTCGCAAAAAGGTATTTACTCAAAATTATTTTTTATTATAGTATTTTAAGAGTACAGTACTTTTTCTTTCAGCTGGAAGCTTAAGTGATTCTCTATTGGTTGGATATTTTCAGACTACTGGGGCTGATAAAATCAGAGAACAACATGCCATTTCATCAAGCTAAAAAAAAAACTTGTTAGTTCCTGAAATGGAGACATTTGCGCAAGAACTTGACTCATATGTGAAGACATTCACGTCTCATATTTTGAAAGTCCTAGGCTATAACAAGACCAAGAGTGTAAAGGTACAGGCTATGTTTACTTTGTTTAAAACTATGGCAAATTGGCACCCGGTTAGCTCAGTGGGTAGAGCTGGCGACCCATGTACAGAGTCTCAGTCCTTGCTGCAGCGGCCCCCACCTGCAGCCCTTTGCTGCGTGTCATCCCCTCCCTCTCTGCCCCCCCCTCCTGTCTGTCTTCAGCTGTCCTATCAAAAAAAAGGCAATAAAAGCCAAAAAAAAAAAAACAACTTTAAAAACAATGGCGAATTGACACTAAAAACAAGAAGTACAGCTGAGACAGATGGGAATGTTATTGTAGACAGTCATAACCCAAAGTATTGGACAAATCCGAAAGGTGAGGGGAACACCAAAGTTATTACATTTCATCCTGAGGGGAACATGAATGTCTGCATGCATGGCAATCTACTCAAATGTCAACCTCATGGTGGCGCTAGAGGAAAGGTCAGGGATCAACTCAGTAGGATTCATCCACTTGGACCCATGAATGTCTGTAGAATCTAGAATAACTAGATTGCTAACATTATCTAACTTAAGATGTGGCTTTATGTTGCTTTTATCTTTTAACATCTTCAAAATGTGGTTGTCTTTTAAACATAGATAAGCCTAGAACATTGCATGTCTAAGCACAGGAAAGGAGAAAGTTGAGCGAGGTTCTGACCGTGGTTTGCTCGACTGTTACAGAGCAAAAAGGGACAGGACTTAGAAAGGGCCAATTGGCCTTGAAGTCTTTTAACTTAACTTAGACTTGCCCTAAAGGACTTGAGTCTTGCTTTGATAAGACTTAGATTTGACTCAGAGTTGCCCCAAAGGACCTTTTAGACAGCTCTGGCTTTCATAACATGGCTTCAGATTGGACATTTTTTGCTCTTTTTGTAAATATTTCTCCATGTCCCTCCTCCTGGGAGCGTGTAACCACTGATTTGGTTGTCATGGGAAAAGAGTGGGTGGCCTTTATTCCCACTTCTCCCACTACCTCCAACCTACATGGTGCTACTCAGAGTGAACCCTGGGAAAAAAAGGAGATCAAAGCGAGAGACACTCTGATGATGAGTGAGATTCTATAAACCTTTACTTTAAGCTTCTACTTTATAACACACAGATCAATTCTTCATTATCGCGCTCTCTCACCAGCTGCCTTGCCTTCTTGTGTCACCCCCTCCTCTCTCTTCCTGGAGGGGGTTGTTTTGTGTCATGCTCAGCAGCACCTATATCTGCTATAGCCACCAGCAGCAGCAGCAGCAGCAGCAGCAGCGGCGGCAGGGACAGCAGATGAGTACGGCCATTGGCTTCTTCCCCCTCTCACTGGCCCTCCCCTCATCCAACACAATGGGACTGATTGTCCATGCGACACACACTCACACACAGAGGGGGCTTTACTCTGGGGCTGAGTGTCGCTTCCTCCACCCCCCCCCGCCATATGCCCCAGCTCCACTGGAATGTGATTATCTTCACTAGCCATAGAGGGGAATGAGGAAAGGGTAAAAGAGGAGAGAAGCATCAGAGAAGGCGAGACGGGAGGTTGAGTGAAAGGGCGAGTCAGTCTGTCACTGAGCGTGCGAGAGTGTGTGTGTGTGTCTGTGTGTGAGAGAGAGAGAGAGAGAGAGCGAGAGAGAGGGAAGGAAGGGAGGATGCAGCCAATGCAGCGAGGCAGCAGTTTAACACGAGCCTGAACCTGCCAGTGCAAGCGACAGAGCGCAGAGAGAGAGAGAGAGAGAGAGAGAGAGGAGGGAGAGGTCTTTTCACTTAGTCCAGCAGTGGATTTTAATTTCTTCACTGGACTCCACCTCGCTGCTCTCACAGGACACAACCTCCACTCAGGTTAGTGCTTCTCTCTTTCTAGACCGGTTCACCAGTCAGCAGCGGAGCGCTGTATCCATCGTGTGCACAATGCAGTTGCGGGGCGTTGGGTTAACAGAGCCGATAGACAAAATGTGGGTGGTTCATGACCACGGAGACTCAGAAACACTGTTTTGCTATTCTAACACACACACAGACACGAGTCGCCTGCTGAGGCTGATGGTTAACAAAGAGGGGAGCACACATCACAAAAGATGAGCCCTGGATCTCACCACAGGATGTTCCTCTGGTGGGTGCTAAGTGTGGTTGTATGTGTGTGTGTGTGTGTGTGTGTGTGTGTGTGTGTGTGTGTGTGAGGGATCTGTGGGTACTCTAAGAGGTGGGAGCTGCACTGGCTGGAGGGGACTATTCATTTTCTTTAAGGCGTTGTTTACTGAGTCTCTCAGCTGCAGGCTGTCTCTAGATATACACTTCAGATCTGCAACTCGCACACACACACACACACACACACCACACAGTGGCTACTGCTGCTGATTTCAGTTAACTCTGTTTGCCATGATTGGCTGTAATCGGCCTCAGCTGTCCACAGTGAGCTGTGGGAAAATATGCAAGTCTCTGTGTGTGTGTGTGTGTTTGTGTGCGTGTGTGTGTATATTGTGGTTTGCTGTTCCTTAACCTACTGCAAAGAAAACTATGATTTTAAGTCACCTTGTCATTACAGCTGTAATACAATCTCTTGATGATAGATGTAATTCTAACTGCTTGTAGTGGCTGCACTACAAGCACCATCAAAGAAGAAAGGCTTTGTAAATATTATTTAGAAAACAATAAATTGTTGCAGTAATGACTTTTTTCATTATTGGACAAATACAAGAGAAAATATGCCTCATGCTTCTTTTCTCTTGGGGCTCAATCTGCCCATCTCCCTGCTGTGTGCACTCACTGTAACTCATTTGACTAGCTATCTCTGCAACTGAAACCATTAACTTTATCTGCAGCAATATATTTTCTGTAGTGCTTCCTTCACTCTCTAAGCCTGGCTTCCCATACGGGCATGCAGTGGCGGTTGTTATCGGATCCTGCTGTTTGTGCTGGCCAACAATTCCGTGGCCCTAATAGTAACAAGGCTCCTTGCTGGGTGTGATCCCAACTGAGGGGCTTCCTCTATGATCAAGGAAGTCCCTGGAATAAATCCAAGGACTCAGGTGGAAACAAAGACTTTCTGTAGATCAAAAATAAATCAGTAAGGGGGGTTTTTGAGGGGAGACATGCTGTTGTCGCTGTAAACGTCAATTCGGTGCTAGGGTTTGGTGCTGCGATGTCAAGATTGAAGGATCTGATTGCTCACTAGACTTATCTGTCCATCACATTAACGACTTTCATCGGAGAAGATCAGCCTTTCAGACATTATTGAATCAAGTGCGAATACGTGAGCCTGGATCGCACTTCTACTCTAAAGATGTTTAAATAAACAGACTGGTGGACATTCTGGCAGATTCGATTTTTACAACATGTCCTATTCATCAGCTCTTTTCCCTCCCATGTCTCCTCTCTCATGTTCTACCTTATGTTATTCTGAATAAAGTGGAAATGCGCTAAATAACTGAGAAACAGAGGTGACGTCTTAGTTCGCGGTATCGCTGCTCAGGGGGAAGGGAACCTGTCATGTAAGCAGCAAGGGCCCAAGAGAGCTTGTTGTTTCTAAAGAGAAGCTAAAAGGAGGAAGGAGTGCTAAGAGCTTCATCGCAATGAATACTAATATACATACTTTACAGTCCGTTCAAATAACTCTTACTTTCTCAAATTATGGCTTGTTCTTGATAGATCTGTGCATTGAGGTGTTTGTGTGCATAGGTGTGAATGTAAATCCCCCATGCCCTGTATCTGGCTCTGTGCTCTGCTCTGTCAGCAGCTGCAGCTTCGTCATCATGGGGATTCATCCTCCTCACCTTCCCTGCCTCCTTTCTCTCCCTTGTACTTCTAGGGTTATTTTCTTGATTTTTTCCCCTTCTCTTCCCTCTTAATGCTACAGTAAAAATGCAGTGTCACTGCCTTCCACAGGCATCACTGGTTGGGTCTGTGGCAGCTGACCGTCTTGTCATTTTGTCCTCTCTGTGTAACAGTGGTTTGTATTTCTGCTGAGACTCCCATGACACAGACCAGAAATGCTGATACTGTTTGACACTTTATTCAACGAGGACATGTCAGATTAAGTGCTGCGTGTGTGTGTGTGTGTGTGTGTGTGTGTGTGTGTGTGTGTGTGTGTGTGTGTGTGTGTGTGTGTGTGAATGCAGCACAGAAAAGCAGGTGACTCAGTTTATGGGTTTATATATTGAGACTCCAGATCCGGTTTAAGAGTTTTGACAAACATGGTGTTAGAAATGAGGAAGAAAAGACACAATTTCAGTTTGAGCTTGATGTGTTAAAGAGGAACTTTATATAATCTTATTGTCTCTCTCTCTCTCTGCCTAACCAGGGCCCCAGCCTTGGCTGCAGGCTTGCATGCAGGCTTGCTTTCTGGATTGCAGGGTTTTCTGTGCATTCCAGCTCTGCTCTGAGAATATGGGCTCCAGTGCCTCCAGTCAGAGGGGCTCATTCATACAGAGCACAATGATCCTGTTTCAGCCACAAGTTTTTACCCACGCTGTTTGATTGGCATTATATTCAGAATCTATTTACTTCATCCATAATGCATGGAGTCCGATCTGCTTCGCATTAATGAATCTGTGTTGCTTACTGTTTCCTCAATGCGCTGGGATCAATAGACGGAGATAAACAAAGAGACTTTTTAAGACAGATCAAAATGAAGAATTCATCGGAAGTATTTTAATTTGAACTGTGATGTTCTGAATTAATTGTTTTCTAAGTTCGCCCCCCTTAGTTACTGTTGCTATGCCTGTCAAGCTTTACATTCATGAACGGCACATATGCAC